CCGTCGCGTCGATTCAATCTTACGACTGCTGGTCTTCTGACCTTGCAGCACAGAGGGTTCTGCGGTTTAGCCCGCAGCGCCACCACGTCCCTCTTCCTTACCCCATTCCTTTTCCTGGCTGCTCCCTACCCAATCCCTTGTGCTGCTGATAATGGGAACAAACGGGGAGAAGGTCGATCACTAGTTTTTTCTGTTGCTTTGCTAGAAGATATGTTGGACGTTAAAACTATGTCACACTGAAGCAGCTCCACAGTATTAGGAAACAAAATGCTGTTACTCTCATGCAAAGGGCAATATAAATAATGTTTTGTATTTGCATATATTCTGAAACAGAAGCAGCACACTTTGCTTTATGTAAACACATGCACAATTAAGATCTGATTTATTTAAAATATGTTTCTTGATGTATTTTCCTGGAATAAATGCATTTTAAAATAAAGTACCCCAAGTGAAAATAACATGATTTCTGAGGGTGCAACCACACAGCTGAATAAAACCAGGTTAAGTGTCCTCTTTTGTTTGTTTGTTTGGAACTGAGAGTAATTGCTCTGCACATACTATATGTTTATAGTGAATTATTCCTGGGTGCTGCTGTACTTTTGTCCACAAGTACACTCTTAATTATGCTAACACAAGAGCAGCTGCACTTTGGCACTTGAAACATTCTTAGGTTCTACAGGGCTATTTGCTTACTTAGACACCTATTGATGAACCTTGCAAACGCAATTTCACAAAATGAGTATATTCTCATTCACAGTTATATAACAGACAACATGAGCAGTTACGATTTGTGCACCCCAGTCCTCAGCAAAAGCACCAATATAGAAGTTGCTTGTAGAATTGCAAAGTTCAAATGTCCCTTTAAATTCAAATTAAGCCAAAAATCCAAGCTATCTTCCTCAACTGTGTTGGGTATCCGTAATATAGAAGAATCAGCTCCACATGCAGAATCTTCAAAACTCTGGAATAAAATATAAATTCAATTGCCTATACATGAATTCACTATGTGGATTCACTCATCCAATGCAAAAATACAGGAATTATACCTAGACCAAATTGGCAAGAGCCTGAGCAGTTTAAGTGGCAACAGCAGCTCTGGCCTCTTTAGCTCTCCCACTCCTACTGATTCAAATCTCTTATTCATAGCCCTGCTGTGCACACTCACTGCATGAAAGAAGCAATATAACATCTATTGTGTTCTCCAAAGACGTTTAACATAAAATATTTTCTTTCTGTGATGGTTTCCACATGAAGCCAAATGTGACACAGGCTCAGGATACTTCTCAGCCAGCCTTATGTCTGCCTCCATTTCTCCAGTGTGTATAGGAATCCTTGCTTGCAGGCCTGTCTCCTTATCTCCTATCAAACCCCAGTTCTGCCTATCACCTGTTTCTGCCACAACTGGTTGCTGTGTTTTCCATCACATCAACCACTATGGCTATAACCACCACTGCTTTCATAATTGAGACCAAGGTCACAGCTATGTCAAATAATATGTTACAGTGTGTATCATATTCTATGAACATCTGGTTTAGTACAGAGGTCTCCAACCCCCCAGACCATGACCCGGTGCCGATCCGTGACTTGACCCGGACTGGGCCGCGGAGACAGACCTTCCCCCCAGCCCTCACTCCCCCCAGCCACTTTGCGCCTGCACCCACGCCTCTCCCCCACCCCTTAGCGCATGCACACGAGTGCCCCTGAGGACCCTGCGCACATGTGCACGAGCACCCTCTCACTCCTTTGTGCATGCACATAAGGGTGCCTGCGCCCGCATGAGCGCCCTCCCACTCCTTTGTGCATGTGCACAAGGGCGCCTGCACTGGCATGAGCACCCTCCTGCTCCTTCGTGCATGTGCAAGAGCACGCCACTTCTTCGCACATGCGCATGAGCACGGGGTGCCCTGCGGGGAGGTCCGCAGGGTTAAAAAGGTTGGGGACCACTGGTTTAGTACAAACAACTTTTCTTATATTATTGATGCCTATTGTGCATTCTTGATCTTTTTCAACCAAGAAAATGATCTTGTTAACATTGTTTCTCAATCTTTTTAGCCTGTGCCCCATTTTGATAGTCATAAAATAGCTCCTTCAAACCTCACTACTCCAATAATTTTCTTAGCTATCTGAAGTAGCAAAATAAAAAATAAATAAAAATTGAAGTGTTGGTAAATTTAAGGAAATATCTCTCCACTTTTAGAAATATTTATTAACTACAATATAACTTTGGGGTAAGAAAACATGAGTGTACTAGTGTATATCATAGGATAATGTAAGAGGCAGCATGTTAAGAATACAGTATATTAATTTCTCTGATTTTGAAAAAGAAACATTACAATATTATTTTTTAAACTAGGCATATCTCCTCTTAAATCCTAATGAGAGAGCATACCTCATTGATTGCGAATCATCACATTAGACTCAGAAACAGCTGCAATATTTTTTCAACAGCAGGAAAAAACAAATAGAATCTTATCTTGGGTGATGATGCAACATAGTTCTTGATACCATTATTTTTTTTATCTCAGTAATTTTGTCTGATATAAGCATGGAAATGCTTTATACTCCCGAGGAGGTAAATATTTACATTATGAGCATATACTTTCATTAGAAGCTTTACATCAGGTTGAGCAAGTGGAGTCAGTCCGGCTAAGGGACAATTTTTCTCCCCTGGTACTTTTGACTGTTCGATTCTATGATCAGGAGCCCTATTCAGGTCTTTCAAACTAGGAGCCAGGGCTTCTTATATTATCAGTAAATCTCATTTGAGGTCTTATTCTCCTATTGCCTTTCACTTCTCTGAGACATAGTTTTCTCTCAGTAAATCTGATCTTCTCATAATATGTCAAAAATACAGTAGCATCAGCTTAGTTATTCCAACTTCCAAAACGATTTTGAAAAACATTGAAATTAAATATTAATAACTTTAATACATATTTTATATACTGTATTTATAATTTTATTACATTGAAAATCTTATGATGAAACAGTCCAAAATGAAACAAGAGATAGTATTGGAAGATGAGACTTCCAGGTTGGAAAGCACTCAGTCAACAAAGGGCAAATATGAATAGTGCTGTTGCTAATGACACAACTAGATTAAAGCTGAAAGAACATCTAGTAGCTGAAATGCACAGAAGTGAAAAGAAAGTTCGACGCTGCACAACACATACAACTGGAATATGGAAAGTGAGAAGTATGAATCCAAAGAAGCTTCAAACTGTAGACCAAGAAATGGAACATACTAACATTGCAGTGCTTGGCATCAGTGAACCGAAGTGGACTGGAGTGGGATATTTTCAGTCACACAACTTCAAGTGACAAGCTCAGAAGAAATGGCTTCTGGTACTGAGGCAAGATCCAGCAGAGGCAGTTAGGAGCCATCATGCAAAGACTCCAGGGAAAACCAAACAATATAAACATAATTCAAGTTTATGCCTCAACCAAAAGAAGTCTACGATCAAGTCTTATGATCATACACTAAAACAAGACATGCTTATAATCCTAGGTGACTGGACTGCAAAGGGAGGAAACAAAGCGGAACCAAATGTTGTTGGAAAATTTGGTCTAGGGATCAGAAATGAAGCAAAAGAATGACTCAGAGCTATGCAAAGCTACCAATCTGTTTACTTCAAGCAACCAAACATGACTGTACACATGAACAATACAGAAATAAAATAGACTATGTAACTGGAAGTAGAAATGCAGCAGTTGTATTTTCCCTGCCAAAACAAGGCGAGGAGCAGATTGTGATACTGATTGTGAACTGTTAATATCTAATATTAGAGCAAAGCTGAAAACTAAAACCAAAAGAACTATTGTACCAAAATATAATTTAAACAATTTTTGATGAATTTGAAGTCAACCTAAGGAACAGCTTTGCATTACTAAACTCTACTTACCATTAACCAGAACTGCCGATTGACACCAGATATATCGTTAGGGAGGAATGCTAAAAGACAATTCCTGTAGCAGAAAGAAAAGAAAAACCTAGATGGATGATGGAAGAAACACTTAAAGCACAGAGAGGATCCACTGATGACTCAGTCACACCATCCTCACTTGACCTGGTGTGGGTATTTGCCAGGAGGGTTCAACATGCTAGTGACTGGGCAAAGTTTCCTGTAAGACCCTCCCCTCTTTTTTTTCATCAGTTCACCACTTCTCACCTAAACAACAAATAGTCAGGGCTGTTTTTCAACACGTGTGAATGGTAGCAAGCAAAAGAGGGTATCTCGTAGACCATCTTGACTACTACTACCAGTATCGTCAACATTCAGGCTGCCCTTTGCTATGTAAAGCCTGGCATCCTTTTTCCTGCGGGTAATGCAGGCACAATATTGTGCCAGAGTATCAGGCCATTTCTTGGCTTTTTGAATCATGAGTTCAGAACCACAATATTCTACATTCATAAACCAGAGGATTTTTTTAAAGAGCCAATTTATTAATAAAAACAATAACATATATATATGTTGCCTACGATCCTAAGGCCTGCTATCAATAACCATTTCCTAAACTGGAATGTGCAGCCTCCTCAACCCGCTTCC